ATAAGGTGTTTCTACAACAATAAGGAAACCAATAATCCAATAAATAACTCAATTGAAAATGAGCAAAAGATCTAAAGAAATACACAATCAGAGGAGATATCTAAATGGTAAGAAGCATGTTAAAAATGCTCAATATCATATGTCATTAAGGAATTGCAAATTTAAACTACAAGATACTGCTACATTCCTATTAGGATAATATCCAAAATACTGAGAACACCAAACACAACCAAAGATATGGAACAGCATGAACTGTCATTCATTTCTGGTGGAATCCAAACTGATATAGCCACTTTGGAAAACAACATGTCAGTTTCTTATTAAATTAAAAATGCTTTTACTTTGCAATTCAAGAGTAGCCTTCCTTTACCAAAAGAAATTTAAATATTATGTCCATATATAAACTTTCATGTGTATGTGTGTGGCAACAATATACATAATTGCCAAAATTTGGACCTGAGCAAGATATTCTCTAGTCAGTTTCTGGATAAATAAATCATAGAACCTCTAAATAATGAAAATTTATTCAGCACTAAAAATAAATGAATTATCAAGTGGTGAGAAGGCATGAAGGAAATCTAATGGCTATTGTTGATTTAAAGAAGCCCATCTGCAAAAGGCACAAGCCACATGATCCCAAGTAAGGCAGAACTATGCAACTAGTGAAATGATTATTGATTGCCAAGGATTAAGGGGTCAGGATAGAGGAACAAATAAGCTCAGTAGGAGATATTTTCAGGACAACAAAACTATTAACTATGAGGTTTTTATACCATGGATACATGTTACTAGACACTTGTCAAAACCTATAGAATGTACACATAATATACTTCAATTAACAATAATGTATCAATATTGGATCATCAGTTGGAACAAATGATGAAATTTCAAAGAGGAAATACTTCTTTAATTAGATTTTCAAAGATAACACAGTATCCCAGATGACAGTCACCCAAATGAACCCCTTTTCATTCAGTATCAGCTCTACATATTAACATCTCCTATTTTTTGAAACCATGGGTTTATTTTGCCAATTTTTTTTACTTTATACAAATGGATTTGCATGAATCAGATATTTTCATTTGGTTTCTTTTGCAACACATTTTTAATGAGATTCACAAAATTTTATTTCTGTTAATACTTAACTGCCATATAAAATATCAATGTACAAATATACTGCAATTTATTCTTTCTATTATTGAAAGTTATTTGTATTTCTATTCTTGAGTATTAAAAATATGCTACTATGAACTTATGCTACTTTTACATTTTTCTTGCTATTCTTACGCTTGTATCTAAGACAGTTCTTGCCAGAATAAATTTGCACCTATAAAAGAAACTTCAGTTTCATATAAAATTAGCATATGCCTTACATATATGGTTGTGGGTCAGCATGGGATTTGCCTAATATTATTTGGGTTTAGCTCAAGTGTCAGGCTGACTTCAAACTTTTTTCATGAGCTTCTTATCTTCCTTGGTCAGTATGTCCTGGGGCATCTTCTAGGTAAAAACGGAAAGAGGGTAACCAGAAAACCAGAGGTTCATGCACAAACCTATATTTAAGACATACCTATAAATATTTTACCAATGAAAATAACATCCCTGAACCCAAAGACAAAGGCAAAGATGTCCCCTGTACAAATTAAGGAAAGAACAAGTGACATTGACAATCATACTCCAAAGGGAAAGGATGTGTACTGCTCTCCTAAAAGTGGGTGAAAAAGAAAAAATTCCATTGAACAATGTTCTAACCCAGGGGTACACAAATTCTTCCTCGCAGCTCTTTTGGCAAATAAAATTTTACTGGAAAACATTCTTATTGATTCCTTTATATATGGTCTGTGCTACTTTCACGGTGCAATGGTAGAGCTGAGCAATGGAGATACAGATAAGAAAAGCCCTTAAAATATTAACTATGTAGCTATTTACAGAAAAAGTTTGCTTGATCTATCAAAACAGGAATGTTGGTTGAGTATATACCTAGAAGCAAACAAGTTCAGAGTTTCTCTTTCACAATTCACTAAACTTCTGTATTTTCTGACTTTTCCAAATCCATTGACTCATTACAGTAGATTACAATATATATTACTGTTACTCTGTCCTAATAAGCCAATTTATGCATATCTAATCCCTAAAAGAAATAGTCACTGTTTTTGTGTATGATTAATATTTATCTGTATTTTTTCAATTAATTTATTTATTGAATGCCCATGCTTTTAACCAGATCAATTTCCTTCTGCCCCAAAACTGAATTTTTTTTCTTATAATTCATTCTCAGTAGAATCAATTTTCTCACTATAGCATGGAAACATTTATTTTAATTTTATTTGTCAAAAAAATCATGTTTTATTAATATTTCTTTATTTCATTTTGTTATCTGTACATTTTCAACTGTGAGATTCTAGATTGATAGTTATATGTAATCCATTGTTAAAATATCATTGTAGTTTACTTTAGCATTGTTTGCTTCAGTGGAGGAGGTTATAGTCAGCTTTATTGCTTTTCTTTGTAGATGATCTGTTTCTTTACTCCAGCTTAGGGTCTTGGCTTTGCATTTAATTTTCTGCTATTGAGTTATGCCTACATGTGATTTTAATTGGAATTATCCCTCTTGACAGAGCATAGCACTTAGAATTGGTAGGTTGATGCTGTTCAACAATTTGAGAAAGTGATACTGTTTTCTCCAACTAAATGTCTCATACTTTACGCTTTCCTCCTCTGCAGAATTTCAGTTGCATGGATGTTTCACCAGTTCATGAAGCATGATAAATATTTTGTAATCTTCAAAATTCACCTTTCTATATTTCTGTCTTTAAGTCAGTAAAATTGTTTTTACAAACCTGGGTTTAAGTTTAATGATTGAGATTATTTTTTTTTCCTGAAGAAAAATTTATTAAATGAGTACATTATTCATTTACTCTTTTTAAGAACTGGAATTTGAATTTAGTTATATTTCTACTATTTTAATGCTTATTTTATATGTTCTTTGATGTTTCTTGTGTTTTTCAATCATGTTTAGTTTAAAATGTCTTGTCTTCAAGCTCCAACATGTGGCTTATGGTGCAGTAGCTTTTGTTATTGGTTGTTTCTTTTGCACAATTCCATACGCTTCCACAGGCTAAACAGAAGATACAGAGCAATATTATAGTATACCTTTAAATTTTCAAGGTGTTTTTATTGCTCTTGGGCTGTTAGAAATGTTGTATCCATTCAGATAAAAACTAACATAAAACTGGGTTGCTGGAATTTTAGGTAGGGTCTGTTTACCTCTTTTTGTGGAGCCTACAGAGGTTATGTTTTTTTTTTCTTTTTCAGTTAAGGAGACTTATTGAGATCTAGTGACTGTTATCTCACCACCTTGGTAAGGACAGAATTTCCATCTAATTTTTAAAAAAACTTCTGCTTGATGTCTTAGAAAACGGAGCCACTCCACTTCAGAGTTTCTAAAACACTTCTGTGAAGCTCAGTGTCTTTTCAGAATGTTTTTAGCAGCTTGGGATCTCCTGTGTCTCCAACTATGGTTTGCTAGCCCTATTAAAAAAAAGAAGAAAGAAAAAAGAAAATAAAATAAAAATAGACCCAGAATACTGCTGGCTACTTTTTGTCACAGTAGCCTCTTGCCTGGGTCTAGGAACTGCTAATTTCATCCGTTCACCATCTTTTTCCAGAGTATTGGTACCTTTATTCTTTACTTTCCCCATCAGCATTTCATTGCACCTAATGCTGTCAGTTTGAGTTTCCCAAAAGAACATATATAACTACTTTAAGAGTGGAAAGAATTTGATTCTGGAGAAAATTAGCATATGCAGGCAACTACATTCCATAATGACAAGACTTCAGGGTGAAAAAGAAAATAAACTAAAACTAGTTTGATTCTGAGAAAATAATTCATGGTTTTCATGAATTTATCTTGCTATGCATAATACATGAATTTTTCTAAATTGTAGATTAAACTGATATATTTTGAAATGCAATTTGGTTGCCATGATAGTAATCCAAAATGCCATTATTAGTGCAGACATATTCAATATGCTAAAGCCTGAAGTCATTGTTTAGGGAGGAGAGATAGTTAGGGATATAGATATAGATATAGATCTATTCTATATCTATCAATATCTATCGATCTCTCTACACACACAACACACATACATATTTAATTTGAGAAACATTTCCTAGAGGAAGAGGTAGAGCTGATATGATCTAAATCACTGGTGATTTAAATGACACAAAGTATAAAATACAAAGATTTTTTTAAATGATCTGATGTGAAATACAAACACTATTGTAGAAAAGTGGCATTAAAAACATACAAGGAAAGGGAAATTTTAAGACAGATAAAGGGACAAATAAATAAATGGATTTTGGATTGAGTTGTGGCTCAGAAGTAGAGTGCACACCTACTATGCATGAGGCACTAGGTTTGATCCTTCAGCACCACATAAAAATAAAATAAAAATATTGTGTTCACCTATAACTAAAAAATAGTTAAAAAAAGAATGCATTTTGTCTGACCTTTTGGAAAGAATTTGTATTTTTACATCTTCAATTTTGACAACATTAATTATCACAAAAGAGCTCTAGTTTGTACTTTCTCACTCATATATTGCTATAAACAGACAATGGATAAACACATGAAAATGCACAAGTAGAGAAGGCACACAAATGGAGGGAAATTGATAGAATCATAACGGAGCACTTTTTCCAGTGAAAGAGTTTATTTAATACTATGAATTTTTTACAAGTTGAGAGTCAAAATTCACCACATTTTACATAGTGTTTTAAAGATAATTATCAAAGGAAATCTTGTCTCCAAATTATCACACAATCCAAGAGATAAGGATGAATCAAAATAGGCATGCTGATTTTATTCATTTTTCTCAGATTGGTATATAGTTGGTATTTTTGAAGATATTAAAAAATTTCGAATGTGAAGAAAGTTGGAGATGATTTCAGTGATATAGAGTGTGACAGCCAATAGGCTCAGCAGCTAAAGAAATTCTTCAGTAGAATCCATAGGACCAGCATCTTCTGTAGCAGAGTGGGCGGCAGCATCCATAGCCATAACCACCATAGCCACCATAGCCACCATAGCCACCATAGCCACATCCACAGCCACCATAGCCACATCCACAGCCACCATAGCCACAGCCATAGCCACAGCCTAGGCCACCATAGCCATAGCCCAGCCCACCATAGTAGTTGCCATAGTAGCAGCTCATGCTGTCAGGAGTGGAGTGTTCAGTTTAGGATCAGGAGGTAGATGTCTTGAGTCTGGATGTCACTATCTGCCACCTGCCTTTTATATACCAGGGGTGCTGGTGGGGAAAACCACAGGCAGGGCATAGTCATATTTTCTCACTCATGTGCCTCAGACAATATCATGTGTATCTTAACTTATTGCAAAAACAAGCTCATAACTGAGATAATTTTGTTCCTACGTAAGGATTCTGTGATCTGTTTATGGGCCTTTAAAATGAAATTCTTTCTCTATTTTTAATACCATATACCATTCTACATTTAGTGAATTTAATACCTACAATATGATTATATAGTACCATGTAAATTATGGAAGTAGGCATTTCCTTTTTATTTTTGTTTTGGATTGTTTCCATTCATCAATGGAAGAAAAAGATTTTCCTTTCTTCCTTCCTCCCTCCCTTCCTCTTTCCCTCCTATATTTTCTCCCTCCCTCCCACTCTCTCTGTCTTCCCCCTTTCTTCCTTCCTCATTTCTTCTTTCTTATTTTTCTATTCTTTTCTTATTGTGAAATTTGTGTTAACATATTTCAAACTGTCCAGCAAAAAAATTACCATTTTCCACTTAGAAATATTATTTACTCCATGATTTTCTTTATAATTCCAAATAAATATCATGGATCAAGTGTAAAGTGCTCTAAGTTAAAGTTGGGTGCTCTACCCTACATTTTTTAACAGGTATTTCATTTTACAAGTGCTGAGCAATACAGAAATGACATGTCTCAAAAGTGTATGGATAGGTCATATAGACAAAATGAGGCATGTGGTTTTCTTTGCTTCCTCAGTTTTTAGCAACTGACGAAGTATGAGTGGAAACAACGATACTCAATCACGGAAAGATGTTTTTTGTTTGATATTAATGTTCAATGAAATTAAATTTACGAAAAACATTAGAACTATTTTAAGAGAACAGATCAACACCTTAGACAGTCAGAGACAAACATAAACTATGTTCCACCACTCTAAAAGTAGGCATTGGAGGAACTGGTAAGGAAGACTGAAGCTTCACTCTGATTTTAAAGTTGCTGTAAAATATCCTCTGACTCACAAATCCTGCCAGTTCTGCTACTCACTGTCACAAAACACTGAAAATATTCACAGGTGCATAGAAATGATGAAAACCTGCTTTTGCCCATGGTCCTCATTCAGATGATTTGATATTTCTGATAGAGATTTGCATGGGTCTGCCAGCCTCTTTCACTTACCAATTGACATTTGTCATAAACTTTGTGCCAGTAATTTAATAATCATTGTATTGTGGGGCATTTATGATTGTCTCTGTGTTTTTTCTGATTACTAGGGTTTTTTTGTTCATATCATGACATGCTACAAGTGGCAAGAAGACCATGGAGAAAATGCAAGTGTTGCAAAAGAAAACAAAGTTTCTTCCTTTTGAAATTAGGAAATAAATCATATTTTTGGTCAGATATACTAAATTTAGTATTATACATATATTTGTTTCTGAAGGTAAATGTCTTTAATTCTTTAACATTATTTATTTGCTTTTTGAAAAGAACTAGAATTTAAATTTGATTGGTGCATTCCTCCAATTTTAGTACAAGCTCCAGTATGTGACTCTAATATGCTTGCTTTTGTTATCTGTTGCCTCTTTGCATATTTCTACAGGAGTCCATAGCTCAAACATTTTTTATTAAAATTTAGAAGGTCCAGAACAATATTTATTTCACCTTAGAGAGTTTTGTTGTTGTTGCTCTTGGACTGTTAGAAAATATATGGTTGATCTCATTCAAACAAGACCTAACACAAAATTATGCTCTAAATTTTGGTTAGGGTCTATTTATCTCTTTTCCCTATAGGAAAGAGGAATTGCTCTTTTTTCTCCTTCTTTTAAGGATATTTTTTTTCCTTAATTCCAGCAATGGTTTTTCTCATCACCTTGACATGAACACAATTTAAAAAAAAATTCCTTTTCAAATGATTCTGCTTCGTGTCTTAGGAAATGGACCCCTGTGACTTCAAAATTTCCAAATATCTCAAGGAGAAAGCTGGATCTTTTGAAGTCAGCATTCTCCTAGCACATGCTTGTCAAATTGTGTCTTTTTTCATCTCCAACTATGATTGCCAGCACTAAAAAGTTGAAAATGGACTCAGATTTCTGTTGATTATGCTGTGTCAGAGAAGCCTCTTGCTGGCTCCAAGAATGGAGAATGGTAGAATTTCACCCAACTTTTAAAAACATTTTCCATCTTAAAAATATTGGTTTCCATATCCCTTATTTTTCCCATCAGCACTTCATTGCATTTAATATTGTCAGTTTGAGTTTCCCAAATGAAAAGTCACCACTTTAATAAGAGTGGAAAGAATTTGATTCTGGAGAAAATTAGCATATGTAGATATATACACTGGATGAAGACCAGACTGTGGGGTGAAAAGGAAAACAAATTAATGCTATTTTGATACTGAGAAAATAGCTTATATTTTTGATAAACTTATCTTGCTCTCCCTAATGCATGTATTTTTTCTAAAGACAATAGTAAATTGATATATGTTCAAATTTTATTTGGTCTCCATTATGATAATCCATAACACATTTATTACTGCAGACATTATGCATATGAAAAAGCCTGTAGTCATTATTTAGGGAGAAGATATGTTGCTGTACACTACACACACATAGATACTTTGAGATTCTTTTACACAGAGGCAGAGCTATAGATGATCTAATCTGATCACTGATGGTAGTAACAACATAGGCATATAAATACAGACATGGTTAAAATAGGCTGGTGTGAAATAAAAAAATTGTAGAATATAAAAATTTCAAAAATGTACAAAGGATAATTTTAGGAGACATGAAAAGACATATAAAAACAGATGTTGTCTGATCCCTGAGAAAGAATTAATATTTTACATCATTAAATTTCAGACCTCTAATGACCACAAAAGTGTTCTGACATTTTTATATTGCCCTCCCCCTCCATCTCTAAAAAAACACACCACACATATGACTACACATGCAATTACAGAAATACACATGTCACAATTGGAGATAATTTAATAGAATTGTAACACACTCATATTTCCAGTGAAATATAGTTTATTTCATAATATGTTTTTTACACAAAAACCAAGAGTCCAGTTTGATCACATTTATGCAGTGTTATAATGATATTATCAAAGGAAAAACATTTCCCCAAACTATCATTCAATCTAAGAGGTAATGATGAATTAAAAAAGTCATGCTGATTTCATTCAATTATCTCAGATAGTTTGGCATAGACTTGGTATTGTTGAAGACATTCAAACATTCCTCATATGAAGAAACTTAGAATTGATTCTATTGAGATGGAGATTAGAGCCAATTGGCTCAGTAGCTATGGAAATATTTCAGTAGAAGCCATAGGACCAGCATCTTCTGTAGCAGAGTGGGCGGCAACATCCATAACCATAGCCACCATAGCCACAGCCTAGGCCACCATAGCCATAGCCACCATAGCCACAGCCATAGCCACAGCCTAGGCCACCATAGCCATAGCCAAGCCCACCATAGTAGTTGCCATAGTAGCAGCTCATGCTGTCAGGAGTGGAGTGTTCAGTTCAGGATCAGGATGTAGGTGTCTTGAGTCTGGATGTCACTGTCTGTCACCTGCCTTTTGTATACCATGGGTGCTGGGTGGGAAAAACCACAGGCATTGCATGGTCATATTATCATCTCACTACTGTGATTCAAACAATATCAGGAATATTTTGACTTATTGCAAAACAAGCCTCATAACTGAGATAATTTTGATCTTACATAAGGATTCTGTGATCCATATACATATTTAAATGAAATACTTGTTGTATTTTCAATGCAATATCTCCTTTTATATTTAATTAATAGAATATGTATTATTTGATTATATTTGATATAAATCATGAAAATAAGTATTTCACTTTTATTATATTTTTTGTTGTTCTCATGATTCAAAAGAAGGAAAGCTTTTCTTTCCTTCCTTCCTTCTTTCTCTCTCTCTCCATTTATTTCTTTCTTTTCTATTCTTCTCTTCTTGTGAAATTAATCTTGACATACATTTCAAACATTCCAGAAAATAAATGATCATTTGACAGTTGGAAATTATATTTTTTCAATTTTCCTCTTCCTTATCCCAAATAAAGTTCATAGATGCAAGTGTAAATCACCCCAAAGTAAAGTTGGGTCCTCAATCTTTAACTCTTATTTGCGGTGGGGTACTTAGTAATGAAATGAGGAGTGCTTAACCACTGAGCCACCTCCCTAGCCAATTTTATTTTTTACTTTGTGACAGGGTCTTTCTATGGTGCTTAGGACCTCTCTAAGATGCTGCCACTGACTTTGAACTTGGAATCCCCCTACCACAGAATCCTGAGCCCCAGAGGCAATGTACAAGGCTTTATTATTTTTAATAGCTGTCACATTTGGTCTTACAAGTATCTAGCAAATGAACAAATGTCATGTCACTTAATAGGTGTACCGATAAGGCAGAGGGACCAAATAAATGATGTGATCCTTCTTTGTTTCCTCAGTTTTTCCTGATGAGGAGGTATTGGTGGAAAAAAGGTTACTCAATCATAGAAAGATGTTTTTTGTTTGATAGTAATATTCAATAAAATTTATTAAAATATAATTTTCATATAATAAATTATACCTACTATAACAGGACAACTCTATGAGTTAGAGTCCAAAATAAATCTAAATTATGTTCCACACCTCGAAATGTAGACATTGGAAGAATTGGTCAGGAAGGAGGAACTTCTACCCCTGTTTTATAGTTGTTGAACCCAAATGTCCTCTGATGTCTCAAGTCCTGTCAGTTCTGCTCATTGATGTCACCAAATACTGAAAGTAATCATAGATGCATAGTCATAACAAAAACCTGCCTTTCCACAAGCTTCTTATTCAGTTGAGACTTCTCAGGGAGTTTCACATAGTTCTGCCAGCCTCTTTCAGCTGCCAATTGACATTCATTTGTCATAGAACATGT